CCTCCTTCCCTCATGGGTGAGGTCATAATACTTTTACCAGTTAGCTAGGGGGGTGGGTGTGGTGAGGTCTGATCGTCATATGGCGTCAGTGATCTTATAACAAAGACACACTTCTTTTACCTTACGGGCTTGCTTGCCCAAAGCGGAGGGAGGGAAGCGAACAGGCGGGTGGCAGGGAATTAATTCAATAGAAACCAGCCCGACCCCCAACTCCCACATTTTAAAAGCATATCTATGTTTTTAGTAAAAATAACATCTTAATTTTATGATGGTACATGCACACAATTAATACTTAAGAGAAATAAGAAATACAGTCGCCAAGTTAATGTCCATTCAAATCATGGACTCACTCCCCCCCCTCTCACACTACTGCCTGCTCTTCCCTCTCTGAAGAAATTTTGGAAAACCAGGTATAGTATAAATAATTCCTCAAACTAAAGGTTAGGATAATATAATTGACATTGCTGGATTCCTTGTAAGACCAGGAATATTTTGAATACAAATGTCATATATTTTTTCACAAAGATAACATATTTACTCAGAATAAACTTTACATCTAAAATTTGTATGTCTAATGCAAATCTATGATGTTTGTATTCAAAATGATCACCAAATTGTAAGAATTCCAGCAATGTAAATTATATTCTGTGAGATTATTTGTTGTATGAATTTTATGAGCTAAAAACTTATCTTCAGTTAATAAAAAAAAAAAAAATAATCTTCAGGACCTTATCTGTCAATCAAATTACCCCACCTTGCCTTCCCCTCTTCCAACATGGTCAGTCCCAACCCTCCCCCACCCCCGACCAATCCTCCTTAAGAGTTTTAACATTTAGTATTAAATAATACCTCAGATTAAAGTTAGGATAATATAATTGGTTGCTGGATTCCTTGTAAGACCAGGAATATTTTGAATATAAATGTCATATTTTTTCTAAAGATAACATATTTACTCAGAATAAACTTTTCATCTAAAATTTGTATGTCTAATGCAAAATTGATGTTTATATTCAAAATGATCGCAAATTATAAATTTCAGCATTGTAGATTATATTTCTGACGGGTAATTTGTATGAATTTTATGAGATAAAACAAATATCTTCAGTTAATAAATAAAAATATTCTTCACTGTAACAGATGGTGGTCCTCTCCCTACCACCAACCGTCCCAGGAGATGTGTGGGAAAACCAGAATACTTAACTTTTGTGTAATAATAATCTAAAACTAAGGGTTAGGATAATATAATTGATATTGTTGGATTCTTTGTAAGACCAGGAATATTTTGAATATAAATGTCTTATATTTTCTAAAGATAACATATTTACTCTGAATAAAATTTAGATCTAAAATTTGTATGTCTAATGCAAAATCTGTATTGTTTTTATTCAAAATGATCAAATTATAAGAATTCCAGCAATGTAAATTTTTATGTTGGGTAATTTGTGTATTTTATGAGCTAAAACAGGCAGTCAGGGTTGGTGGGTGGGGCAAATTAAATAAGCGTCTTGAGCGGATTCTGTTTTTGTGGAAAAAACCGTGTTAAGTGATGTTTCAGTTGTGAGTATGGTATATGGTGGTATGTAGTAGCGGGTGAGTAGTTAAGTTCTGTGTATATATGTATATATATATATATATATATATATATATATATATATATATATATATATATATATATATATATATATATATATATATATATATATATATATATATATATATTATATTGTTATATATATACCTAGAACCGACTTACGACTACGTGGACAGTGACGTGGGCTTAGCTTTTAGTAAAAAATAGATAAAAATTTTTTTTTTTTTATATACAGAACGTTTCAGTTAATGTAGTTCCTTTATAATTAGAAAATTATGTGGTTCATGTTCAGCTGACTACATTAAAGGTTAAGTGCTCAGTCACACTGTATCTATTCCTTATTATTTATTACTTTCACTGTACTGTATCCATTCATCATTAATTTAATTTTATATTGTAGATTTTTATTAAAAAAAAAAAAAAAAAAATTTTTTTTTTTTTAAATCCATGTTCAGACTTACGACCTGGATTTGGGTCCTATCCCGTCGTAAGTCAGGGTTAGTATATATATATATATATATATATATATATATATTCAGAAATTTCAGTGTGATTTCAAACGCCGCGCCATGGGCGATACTGAGTTTTCAAGGTCGACTGAGGAAGAGAGTGCTCCTGACCGCAGTGAGAGTTTTTGGAACTAGGCCTATATGATATTGAATGTAGTTTGCCGAATTAATAATGATGCGATTCATGAAGTTAAGGGACTATTATTAAATTTGAAATTATTATAGATCGTTTATCAGTCTGAATAATGTTACGGGTGTCCCAAGAAAGTTATTAGTTAGGCGGAAAATATGTCACGTAAGCCTAAGCTAACGCCTTCGGGAGACGCGAGGCTGGCTGGTTCTCAGTCACGTGAAAGCGATTGGATAGACAGGACACCCTTGCGCGTCCGTCCACAAAAACGGTCACGTGGTCTAGTCACCTGTGTTGCGCTATTGCAGTATAACAAGTAAGTCTCATTCGATCTCAGACAGGGGTTAGATAGGGCAGTGATAAAATTAACAAGAGCTAACAGTGAGTCCATTTCAGGGTTTCCGTTAGAACCCACTTGACTGCGAGAGATTGACTGCGGGAGATTGATTTCCGTTTGAGACTGCCGTTGATGATTGATGATTAACGATTGTCGCAGTTGGAACGATCAGTGCAGGCTTGTCACTGGCCAGCTGGGATATCAAGGGATCTCTTGAGTGAACAAGTGCTCCCGACAACTAAAACAACACGGGACCAGCATCGGCATTGGGTGATCAGTTCTTCCCACGTGGGTGCACAGCACCACGTGTTTTCGGTCAGCTAGAAGTATTACCTACTGGCTAGGGGTCACCTGCTGGCGTTCTCTCTTCCCGCCCATGGGCGCACTGAGAGTACACTGAGACCAGGAGTCTAGGGGATACCTAGAGAAACATTTTATCCCCATCTATTACAGGTGTATGTTGAGTTGGATGAAGCAGTATCATCTTAATAACAGTGATAATATTTTTGGGGTGTAGTTGATACTATTTTTTCAGTTACTGATATTATCTTGATGTGTGTAGTAATATTTCTTAAATAATTTTGATGATATTGTTTTTTAATGTTTGTGTCACTAATTGAAACCAGAGTGATACTGTGATTTAGTTCTTTTAATGCATTTAATTTTTCTTTATAATTCTGATCTCAGGTATAACCTTTGTTCCCCAGAGTAGTGTTTAAGTTAGGTTAGGAAGTGTGCATCTGTTGGGGTAATATAATTCTGTTGAGTGCCCTGAAGGCCTATTCAGGGTGGAGTTAATAAGTTCTTATTTTTTTATACTATTTTCTCGGTGCTGGATATAATTTTGTTGAGTGCCCTTAAGGCCTATTCATTGCGGAGTTATTAACTTCTTATTTTTTTAATACCATTTTCTCAGTGGTTGATATTATTTTATTGAAAGCCCTTAGGGCCTGTTTCAGGTGTGCAAGCAACACTTCTTAATACTTGAATTTATTGTTGTCTAATGAGGCATTGTCTGAGTTTCTAATAATTGCGATATCATGTATAACTCTTATTCCCCAGAGTAGTGTTTTAAGTTCAGGTTAAGAGGTGCGCATATTGGTGTACCATTATTTGATTGTGTCTGTAGTGTTGGAGGGAATATAAGTGTCTAAATTTTGCAGTGTGTCTCATTCATCCCAGTCACAGACGCTATCCTTCCACGGGTCACGGACAATTCATTTTGTTTAGTAAATTTAGGTGTTCTTGTGCTGGTTCGGGATTTTTCTCAAAGGGGCGCTTCCACTGCAATTACCATCTAATAATCTTTAATAAATCCCGAGTCAAGTGAGAAATTAAAGTCCAGTAATATATATATATATATATATATATATATATATATATATATATATATATATATATATATATATATATATATATATATATATATATATATATATATATATATATATATATATATACACTGTATATATTTTTATTTTTATTTTTTTAGGCAAGCTTAGAATCACAAGGTGAAGATGATCCTTTAGCCACTTTTGAGATGGATGGAGCCAGTGGCAATGTGAGAAGAATGGACTTCTTCAATGTGAAGGAAAAATCTGACAAGACGGAAGAATTAGATGAACTTGATGATGACACTGAAGGAATTCAGGATGAACCTGATGTTGCGCTGCCACCACTGGTCAGCATCCAGAACAGGGCCTCACAGCCTTTGAGTATGAACCCAGTTCAAGGAATAACAGTAAGTCAACAAAAAACACACATTTATATACACACCTTAACCAAGCTAAAGTTTAATCAAAGACTTGTATGGGTTGAAAACCCCGCGTTCCCAGGACCTCTGACTTGCTTCTTATAAATAACTTTAGAATTAGTGAATCTTCCTGTCACACCACTAGCCCTTTAATCTTTTCACTGTGGCTGTATGATTACTAGGCCTATCCCCCTGTGGCAGGTTTTAGGAATTAAAAATAAATTATTTATAATTAAAATATAAATAAAGTAATCACTCATGATCAAGAATATGTGGGTCTTCTCTGGATGCAGGCTCCCTCCTGGTAGGTGAATTGCTTAATGGCTTGCATTCTGGCACAGGACATAACTTAGATGCATAATGGAGATATATGTTTCTCCTTTTCATTGTACAGTGAACCCGCTTTACGCGGTCAATTGAACCCACGGAGGCCCGTGTAAAGTGAGAAACGCGTAAAGTGAACATAACATATGGGATTAATTGAAATAGAGACCGGGCCGACCCCCAAACTCCACTTTTTCCCGACACAATACCTATGTTCTCGTAAAAATAACATCTTAATTTTATGATGGTACATACACACAATTAATATTTAAGAGAAATAGAGAAATACAGTCGCCAAGTTAATGTCCATTCAAATAATGGATTCAACTCCCCCCCTCTTCTCACACTCCCTGGCTCCTCCCTCTCTGAGAAATGTTTGCGGGAAAACACTAGATTTTAAGGTATAGTAATAAATAATACCTCAAACTAAAGTTAGGATAATATAATTGACATTGCTGGATTCATTGCAAGACCAGGAATATTTTGAATACTGTATACATGTCATATATTTTGCACAAAAGATAACATATTTGCTCTGAGTAAACAAAATACATACATTAGATCTAAAATTTGTATGTCTAATGCAAAATCTATGATGTTTATATTCAAAATGATCATCAAATTGTAAGAATTTCAGCAATGTAAATTATATTCTGGCCGGTGTAGTGCCTTGCATTATTTAATGAGAGAATGACAAGTCACATGGTCGGTCTGGCTGGGCGTTTATTCTCTGTTCTTGGTTACAACGTGCCTAACACATTTCGTGTTTACACAAGCCTAAACACTTTCTGACTTTGGTAAGAAGTAACATAATATATAATATATATATTCAATAAAGGCAGCATATAAACATACATATATATAACACTATTTCTCCCTTTCAAAAGAGAGCATGGCTGCTACAAATCCTAAATAAACAAAACTTACAGAATTACATATGGCAGGGAAGAAGGGAATAGAACACAACAAATATAACTTCCTAACTAAACAGTTTTGAAAGGCCTGTTCACAATTCAGATAATTAGAGGTCTAATTTAATTACAGGTCTCCTAACTCTGTTTGATCTTCTAGGACTATTCCCTCCATCAAGTTTTACAGGGGTTTCACTTGCACTCTGTGCATTATCAGTGACAGACATATCATCACTACTATCAGTTGACACAGTGAGTGGATGCTGGGAAACATCATCTTTTACATCATGATGATGATGATCATCTGAAACTGTGTCAAGTTTATCATCATGTCCTGATGCTACATTCATCTCGTCATGTGCCTGAATGATGTGATCCACATGAACATATCTCAAAGAGTTACCACATTTCACTAAATATGTCCTAGATCCACATACCTTGTCAATGACACCAGTTATCCACTTTGCATGTACAGTACCATAACCTTTAGCCATGTTCCTAACTCTCACCCTATCATTTACCTTGAACACTCTTTCACTGGAACTCTTATCATGATACATTTTTTGTTGAGCTTGTTTCCTCTACAACTTCAAACAGACTTGGCTTAACTAAACTTAATCTTGTTCTCAACTCTCTCTTCACCATTAACTCTGCAGGAGTACATCCTGTCACACTATGTGGCGTGGTTCTGTATCTGAGTAAGAAATTTGCTAGTCTGTGTTTCATTGATTTTCCTACAGTTCCTTGAACTACCTGCTTGGAAAGTGCTTCCTTTACAATTCTAACTGATCTCTCAGCTGCACCATTAGAGGCAGGATGATAGGGTGGGGTCAGTACATGCTTTACACCTATGAATCTCATGAAGTTTTTAAACTCTGATGATTGGAATGGAGGACCATGGTCAGAAACTACCTCTTCTGATATTCCATGTTCGGCAAATATTAATCTTAATTCATCAATGGTGCTACCAGCATTAGTACTGTACATGTGCTTAACATCAATCCACTTTGAATGACTATCAATTAATACAAGAAATTTGTCTGTTCCCTTATCACAGAAGTCAATGTGTACTCTTTGAAAGGGACGGGTAGGCCATTTCCAGGTTTTCAAAGGTGTGCTGGGTGGCATACTCCTAACATTCTGACAAACAGAGCACTCACATACCATCATTTCTATTTCATCATCCAGTTTAGGCCACCACACAAAACTTCTGGCCAGTGCTTTCATAGCACATATACCTGGATGTTCAAAATGCAGTTCATTCAAAATTTGCCCTCTAAAACACTGTGGAATTAACACTCTCATACCCCACAACACACATCCCTGTTCTACTGATAATTGACATCTCCTTAAATGATACGGTGTATACTCCAGGACTCTTTCTAATACAATATCTTTCCTAGTTTCATGAGCAATCATTCCGGAGGTGACTGGAAAATCTTCTGCTATCATGGTTACAGCATAAGCCTTAGGCTCTACTCCATCATTTGATCCACTACATGACAACCTTGACAAAGCATCTGCATTGGAATGATCATCTGAACGTCTGTACTGTATCTCATAGTCATATGCCGACAATATCAAAGCCCATCTCTGCATTCTTGCTGCAGCAAGTGTAGGAACAGGTGATTTAGGACCCAAAATTGCCAAGAGAGGCTTGTGATCAGTTATTAAAACAAAATTCCTCCCATATAGATACTGGTGAAATTTCTTTACTCCAAATATGATAGACAAAGCCTATTTCTCTATTTGTGCATAATTTTTCTCGCTTTGGGTAAGAGTTCTCGAGGCATATGCAATGGGTCTTTCTTCACCGTTATCCATTATGTGACTTATGACAGCACCTCATCCATAGCCCGATGCATCACAAGCAAGCTTTAGTGTTCTACTGGTATCAAAACATCAGTACTAGACAGAGCAGCTTTACAATCTTCAAATGACTTCTGAGTTGCACTGTTCCATTTCCATGGTATCCCTTTCTTTAATAGTTCATGCAGAGGGGCTAAAACTGATGAAAGTCAACTCAAGAACCTTGAATAATAATGTATCATACCCAGGAAGGCTTTCAATTCACTGACATTTTTTGGAGCAGGTAAATTTACTATGGCTCCTACTTTATCTGCTACAGGTCTCAGCCCTTCTGCATTCACTTTGTAGCCAAGATAAGTTACTTCTTTAGCTAGGAATGAACATTTGCTCTTGTTGAGCCTGACATTGTGTGCCAACAGTCTTTTGAATACTGTGGCAAGGGTTTTGACATGATTTTGGATGTCGCTGTCAACAATAAGGACATCATCCTGAAAACATAACACATTGGGAAGACCCACACGAATTTTGTCCATGATGCACTGAATAACTTTGGTGCACTTTTAACACCATAAGGCAACCTTTTGAACTTATACAATCCTTTATGAGTGTTGATAGTAAGGTACTGTTGACTTTCAGTATCAACACAGACCTGAGCATATGCTTGGGACAAGTCTAACTTAGTGAAAATGGTTCCACCTGTTAGTGCAGCAAACAAATCTTGAGATGTGGGTAAGGGATATAGCTCATCCTCAACAGCTTGATTAATGGTAACTTTATAATCACCACATAGTCTAACTGATTTATCAGCTTTAGGTACAATTACTATTGGAGCAGCCCAATTGCTCTTGGTAGTTTTCACAATAATTCCCTCACTCACAAGTCTGTCTAATTCTTTCTCAACCTCACCTTTCAATGCATAAGGAACAGGTCTGGACTTAGCATATATGGGTGTAACATCTTTGTCAATGGTGATATGAGCTTCATAACCCTTTATACCATCCTGTCCCTTTACAAATAAAATCTTGTATTTTTCAAGCAATTTCTCAAGACCTGGAATACTGTTACACATTCTAACACTAAATATCTCCTTCCAGTCCATCTCAAGTTCACACAACCAGTTCTTACCTAACAAAGTTGAGCTATTCACATAACTAGCTATAATTAATGGCAACTTTAAATTCTGATTTTTGTACTTTACCTCACACTCTAATTTACCTTCCGTGTTCCAAATCTCTCCAGTATAAGTTCTCAACTTGACACCTGAGTCTTCTAAAGGCACATGCGCAAATAGTTTCTCATACATATCTTTACTCATTATGGAGAAATCAGCTGCAGTATCCACTTCCATGGTTACAGGTGTGTCATTAATGCACAAGTCCACATTATACCTATGTTTAACTTTCTCTTCACGACTGGTGTAAATAGTAAACACATGGGCACTCTCATCATTATCAAATCCAAAATTACTAACACACTCATGAATACTGTTTTTCATTTCCTTCTCTCCACCTTCAATGGCATATACTCTACCTTTATCACTTCTACAGGCAGGAGCAATATGTCCAATACGTTGACAATTGTAACATTTTGAATTCTTGAACTTACACTGAAAGCTTTCATGTTTCCCTCGGCACCTCTTACATTTTAAATCAGCATTTGTTCCTTGTTTTGTGGTATACGTATTCCTTTTAGCTACAGTTACTTTACACACTGAGCCACTACTGCCAACTGTTTCACTACCAGCATTGGGAACAAATTCTCTAATGTTTTTCTCGGCCAATTCCATACTCGTAGCTATCTGACATGCACTTTCAAAAGTTAAGTTAGTGGTGTTCATTAACTTATTCTGTATTTTTTCATAATTCAGGCCTATCACAAACCTGTCTCTTAGAGCTCGGTTCAAGAACTGTCCAAAGTTACAGTGAATGGGTAATTCTTCAAAGC